ATTATGTAATTAATTTCAGGTTCGAAAGATGATTTATATAACGATTCGAAAAATAGTTTGATAAAATCATTATTAAAATCCAGTCGAGTCGATGTTAATTTTAGGGAACACACGACTAGAAATATTAAATTCAATCGTCTTTTTTCCAAAAAAAATTGTGTTCATTGCAATCGAAGCCAAAACAAATTAAAAGTCGATATAAATCCATTAGAAGAACTTTTATACGGTAATATTCAAAAAAAAAAAAAAACAAAAACAAAAGCAGACGAGAAAAAAAAAATTTTTTAAAGTAATCAAAAAAAATCATTTACAGGTAATATTCAAGAAAATTGGACGAACATAACGGAAGCCATAAGATTATTAATAATATTTAAAAATGACGATAGATTAATATCGAATCAATCGAAACAATATTATTATCATCATCATAAGGATTTTGAATATTCGGAAAAACGTCATCCGTATTTGTCATCAAGGGACGAAGATGAAAACACTCCGTTATTATACGCAGGTAGAAGATTGTTAAAAGAAAAAGCTTTTAGAAAAGCTTATACCTTGTGCGAATTATTAATACAAGCCGGGAGCGATGTAAATGCTGCCAACATAGAGGGTAGAACTTTGTTAACCTATAGTGTTCAATATTTTGACGATTCCTACGAATTAACACGGTTACTCATAAATTCAGGGGCAACGGTTTGGCCTTTAAATACGGATATAATTAATATTAATTCAGCCGGCCTGACAAAAAATCAAAACCAAATAATTAATTTTAATAGTAATAATAATAATAATAATAATGTTAATGTTAATAATCAATTCCATAACAATCATTTGAAACCCCCGTCTGATGTCACCAATGTGTTCAAATCGGACAAATCCAAAAAAGAAGTTTTATATTTTGGTCCGCAAATAAGGGAAATAGGAACGAATAATTATGAAAAAAATTCTGCATTTACCTGGTTTTTAAGATCCATTATCAGGTGCAGAAAATTAAATTCGAATGCAGGGAAAACGTTGAGCGTTCTTTGCGAAATAATGGGTGAAAATCCGGAGAGAATGCATTCGCACGTCATGAGAACAATGTTTAGACACGCCAAATGTTTTAAGGTTCTCGGCCCGGTCTTTTATCAATTGAAATCTTCTATGATGCCATATTGGAGACAGCCCAAAGACCTTAAATACCTGTGCAGAAAAGAAATAAGAAAAATATTAGGTCCTCGTAGATTGAGATCCGATATAAATAAGCTAGCATTACCAAAAAAAGTTATTAATTATATTTTATTGGAATAATAATAATAATATTCCTAAGAACTAAAACAATCAATCAATCAATCAATTAATTTCTACTATATATATATGACCAAAATGTCTTTCTTATGATAGGTTTTTTCTTTTCTTTTCTTTTCTTCTATCCCTCTTACTCTTGTCAAATTTTACACAGTACAAAAAAAAAACTTTTGGCTTAATATTACAATTATAATATTACTTTTAGATGATGTTGAGTAATTTTTTTTTTTTTTCTTTTGTGCTCCTGTTAATGTTTTTATTGGAAAATATAATTTATTCAATGTTAAACCCAAAGTTTCAAAAAAAAAAAAACAAAATTCAGTAAAATTTGCACACATACATTTTCACATATCTAATCAGCCACAAAATATTAATAATGATTTATTAATGTATACTATTCATCTTTTATTAAGACATATAAATATACATATATTTGTGGCAAATGTATTTATAATGTAATTTAGATATTAAAAACAAAATCATAAATTATTCAATCAATCAATGAATTAATCAATCAATCAATCAAATTTCAATCAAATAATTCACGCTCATAAAATTATAAATTGTAATGTTTTTTTTTTTTTTTTAAATTTTTATATCAAAAAGGTAGATTACCATGTCTTTCTTATTAAAATAATTTCAAGTGTGAGACAAGTGCATCATTATATTAAAAAGTAAATAATAATAATCATATTAATTATGATAATAAAATAGCTTAAATGTTTCCATCATAAATAATAATAATAATAGAAAATAAAAAATCAGTATTTTTTTTGTTGTTGTTGAATATGATAAATATTAGTATAAAGTTATAATATTATTAGCTTATTAAAAAACGCTTTTCAATTAGTTACTATTGTTAATTTTTTAAATTAAATTGCGATTACCTGTGCCAAAAGTAGTTAAGCTGCTGATCGCTCATTGAAAATATTAAAAAAAAAAAAAAAAAAGAAAAAAAAAATTTTTTTGTATGTATTACAAATAACTTAACAATTTAGCATAATCCAAGCTTTGCCGCCCTTAAACTGTGCAAAAAATATACGTTCAGTATTTTATCAAGAATAAACAAGTTTTTTTTTCTATTTCTTACTCTATGACTTTTTCAACAAAAAAAAAAAAAAGAACGCTTATTTTAAAAGTGTTCTTTTTCCGTTACGTTTCGTTTGTCGAACATTTTCAAATTTTCATTATTACCTTATTATTTCCGTGAGTAAATTGATAAATATATTATGTAAAATTAATAAAATAATGATAATATAAGGTTCTGCTGTGGTTTATTTTATAAGTTTTTACTGGATTAACGTAAATTTTTTGTTTTTCAAATTTGCAATTAATAAAAAACAAACGAATATCAAAAGATTATTAATTAATTATGTCATATGATTTTAAATGTTTAAAAACAAAAAAAAACGCACAAAAATATGTAATTATTATTATTAATTTAAACATTTTTTTCCCGATTTTATTAAAAAAAATTATCATTTTGTACGTTTTTAATTGTTAAATGAAATGTTGTTCGGTGTTGTATGTTGGATATGTGTTTGTGTTTGTTTGTTTATTTTTTCGAATTGTTTTGTTTTATGTGAATAATTTTACCGCCTTTCTTCTGTCTATGAATTTTCAAAATGTTTTTTACAGTAAAAATTACAAATTAAACTATAAAATTTTATAAGAAAAAAACAAACAAAACTAATACACGTGATAGTTCAAAAATAAATTGTTGTCGTTTGTTTCGAAACAATTTAATAACTTTTTCTTTTTGACGTTTTAAACTAATACAATCATTGTTAAATAATGTTTTCTATAACAAACAGTGTTTATAAATAATATTCATAATTACAAATTCACATTAGAACAATCACAACAATCAATACAAACAAACAAATATATTTAACAATCAAAAGGAAAAACCAGTCTCAATTTTCTTTTTTATTAAAAAATTCAATCAAATTAATTTAAATTTGTTTGTTTGTTTGTTTGTTTTTAAATCATAAGATAATAAGACAAACAGGAATGACAATCTTTTTTGTTGCAATGTACAAAATCTACAGAAATTGTAATTTTAAATTTTTTTTTTAAACATAATATTGTTAACAACAATAATTATTCACAATCAATTGTTTTTGTTTGTTTGTTTGTTTGTTTGTTTTTGAATTACAAGAAAAGTTGCCAAAAAAAAAATTATAAGGGTTATTTGGAACCAATTAATAAAAATATCAAACAATGACTGACCAATACCAATCACTGCCTTTTTTTTTTTCTTTCTTTTTATTTGTTTGTTTGTTTGTTTTTAAATTCAATCATTATTAAATGTTCTTCCTCTCGTTTGTTTCATTTCACTTCTGTTGTACATATATATATATATATATATATATTTATTTAAAAAAAAAAAACTTAAAATTATTATTATTATTATTTTGATTTTGATGTTAAAGAGAGAATGAAATTTCTTATTTATTTTTAGGATTCAGGGCTGTGACGTTGTTTAAATGATTAAAAAAAAAAAAAAATTATTTGAATCCATTAAAACTTATAAATTCTAATTAATCTGATAATATTTTATTAAATTAATCTGATGGGATTTTTCTCTGTTGTTAATTCATCGATAACTTGTAAAATAACCTTAAACAGGCTCATGTCTATCTATGTATGTAAGAAGTGCAAACAAAACAAACAAACAAACAATCATTTTTAATCTTTTTTCCTTTTTGATGTTTTCATCTATTTCTTTTCCTTCTTTTTCCTTTTAAATGTGTAAAAAAAAAAAAAAATATATAAATAAATAAAAATTATTATTATCTGTTAATGTGTATAAAACAAAAAAAAAAAAATTTAGTTTACGTTTTAAATTTTTTCATTATCATTATTATTATTATTATTATTATTATAAATGTTTTTAAAAAATCAAAATTTTTTTTTTTTTACCAATAAATAATTATTGCCACGCATTGCTACATTTTACAATTTAAATAATAATAATAATAATAATAATAATTTTACATAAATGTTTACTACTGGGTAGTTAAACTTAATATGTATTATGTATTATGTATTTTTTTTTTTTTTTGGAGCGAAATAATAATAATAATATTAATAATAAAATTTAAAAAAAAAAAAAAAAAACAATTTATAAAAATTATTTCAATTTATTCACTTATTCCCTTTTTATTTTCAATTCCATGACACAAAACATGTCAAACCGATTATTATTATTTATTAGAAAAACAAAATAATTATTTCGTCATAGAGACAAAATTCTAAACCGAAGCAAATTATGTAGTTAATAAAATAAATAATATCAACTCAATCCGAACGAAATGATTTTTCATTAAAAAAAAATCATAATAATAATAATAATAATAATAAATTTTTATTATAGATATATATATATATATACATATACGTGTATGTACGTGCATATGTATAAATGAATAATTCACTGCATTTAAAAAATTGACGGGGAAAAAACATTATTCACGTGGTCGTTATAATAATTAAGTAATTTTATTTTCGATTTGAGAATATTTTTTTATAATGAGATGTCCCTTTGATTTGGATCTTTTCGTTACAGCTGAATTATTGTTGTTGAAATTAGTAAACGATGAGCTAACTCTTGCTTTTATTGAACTTCCGGGACATCCGTGAGAATAACAATGAGCTTCTTTCCATGCTTGTTCCAATTTGATGTAAATCCCTCCTGATTATATTAACAACGGGGATTAAATCACCATTTGAACCTACGTTTAAAAAAAAAAAAAATTTTTTTTCTTTTCTTACCTGGAGGCACAATTTGTTGATTTGCACTTCTTGTATTTTGATGACTCCTGAAATTTTCACCGGATAATTTTTTTGCCAATGCTAATTCGATTTGTCTCAATGCTTTTTCTTCGTAATCCCTTTGATTATCTTGATTACTTCTCGTCGATAGTCTGGGTACCCAAAAACGATTCTCTTCATTCCTTAAAAAAAAAAAAAATGAAAAAAAAAAAAAAAATTAATATCAAGTCGACAATCGATCAATCAAGTTAAAACATTAATCGCGACTATTTCGAACAAGTTTTTTTTTTTTATCATAAAGGCGGTAAATCTCACCTTACATTTTTTCTTATTTTCTTTTTTATTTTCTGTTTTTTTTCTTTTCGAATAATTGATAATCTAACGGGAAAAATTAAATTAAATTATGATATATATATATATATAAATTAAAAAATCTCGGGCGCGCGCAAAAGAAAAAAAAACCTTCTACCGATTATAATTATCGATAATCGTATCATTTACCTTTCCGATCCGACACGTTGATTATAACCTACTACCGAATTTCTAGGTTTTGATTTTATTTTTTCCAATGAATGACTACTATCTTCCGAATCCTCATCCGAAGAAGTGCAACTATCATCCGATGTATTCGAACAGCTCGAAACCTCTTGATAATTATTATTTATCACGCTTTCCCCTTTAACTTGAGACTTTTGTATTTTACAATCGTTTACATTTCCACCTGAAAAAAATTTTCATTTTAACAATTATTAACAATTCATTTTATTTATTTATTTATAAATTACAAAAAAAAAAAAATTACTACCAATTTTAATATCGCTTTTCTTTTTTTCATCCCACATTTTATTTAAAAACCCGGAAGATTTATTATTTGGAATTAATTTTACTCCGCACCACCAAAATTCTTCCTTGGCGGGAAGAACTTTACCTTCTCCAAAATCTTTACCAGATGATCTCACGTATTTTTGATTTGATGTTATCGGAGGAGGTTCCGTATTGAGTACGTTTTTTAATAAATTCCAAATTCTTAATATTTCTCCATCGTATGGAGTTTTCGTGTTAAGTACATGATCTCGATAACAACATCCCTGATGATTGCAATCATTGATTTATATATTTAAACTTGAATTGCGAATAAATAAAATTTTTAATAATAATATGAAAACTTACAGAAATTTTTTTTATAACTTCAAACCTATAAGTTTTTTCACCGCAACAAGAATACCTTCCGATCGGATGTAAAATACTTTTTTGATTTTCTAAATGAAAATATTGTACGGGATCCGAATGAAATCTGCACCTGAAAAATTTAAAAAAAAATAATTTTTAGCCTTTTTGAAAAAAAAAAAAAAATTAAAAGAGAGAGAGAGAGAGAGATAGTTTTTACATTGTCTTACCAATTCATCTGACACACTGGAAAATATTCTTCGCATGCATTACAATATAAAAAATGACAATTTCCCCATAATTTCCAATAAACTTTTCTCCAGGTTTTCAATTCGTTTTTAAGATCTCTCACGTAATTCCTTAGATTCCACGAAGAATCGTAATGATGAGTTGAATGAGTGCATCCATATTGATCTATCGTCATATTTGCGGGTATGCAAGGAATCAAACCGGACATATTTTTTAAAATTAATTTTAAACATTGAGAACACCTATTTAAAAAAACGAAATTTAAATTAACGATTTCCGATTGGTTCCCACAGACATTTTTTTTTTTTTTTTTTTTTTTTAACTTTTATTTTTAATTTTCTTACTTAAATAAAGTTGCGATTGAAGAATAATGACCCTTTTGATGTTCGGGAATGGGTTCGCTTAAAGACAATATCATTTTACAAAATAATTTACTTTGAATTTTATCTTTTTTATCAATTATTCCTTCCAATTCTAAATTTGTAAATAAATTTGCTAACCTAACAAAAAGGCAAAAAAAAAAAAACTGTTTAAAATCAAAAAAAAAATAAAAAATAAATAAAAACCACATAAACTTCATTTACATTATTATAACTTTCTCACCTAGATAATACGTTATCATTGATGCAACCTAAATTAGGTGAATTTCTAATAATTTCATTTATGTGTGCTTTACAGTAATCCAAACAATAATCTTGAAGTGATGTCATTTGAAGAAATGCCGAAGACATTAAAACGGGAATTACAATAGAAGAATCTAGAGAAAGAAGATTTTTTTAAAAATATTATTTTAAAATAAAATTCGATATTATTATTCGAAAAATTCTAGAAAGTTCACCTAAAACGGGCCAATGTTTTTGAGAATAATTATCTTTTTGAACCCATCTCATTAGCCAATCGAAAATTGTGATATCGCAATGAACCGATATATCCATGTCTTCGAGTTTTTGTCCATTTGTTACTTCGGCAAAATAACCCATTTGATTAATTAATAGTTTTTGAGAACATTTGAAATCTCTTTTTAAATTTTTGATTTCGTCACAGACGTGAATTACCACTTCTATACTGTAATTAAAACATTTTACTTTATTTTTTTGTTTGATATTAAAAAATTATTTTAATATAATATTTTCAACTCACTCTTTTTTATCAGGTGGCGTGTCAGCATGATTATTGAAACCTGGTTTTTTTTTTTGATTTTCCACAGATGGTTTTTTAGAATCTAGATAGATAAACATGTATTAGTGTAACGAACAAAAAAAATTTTTTTTTGGGTTAATATAAAGACTGATTCGTCATACCATTTCCGTTAATTTGTTTTTTATGAGTTGTTGAAACAGAATTTTCTTGCTGCGACGACTGTTGTTGTTTCGGTAGTAAATACGGTAAAACTGAATCAAGGATACCCTCTTGAAGAACATCATTTAATTTTTTTTTCAATATTTTAACAGAAACTTTATCATCTAAACTATCGAAAGATGCTTCACTTTCGGCACTACCTTCTGCTTTATTACTTCCTAATTTTTTCCGGTTTGTACTAATTCGTTTTCCTTTGTCACTTCCTTGCAGTAATTTTTTATCTAATAAATAAATAAAAAGTTGAGACAATTTTTAATAAATTAACAAATTTTATTTGAAAAATAGTAACTTTTTAATTCATTCATTTTTCAAACTTAGTTATGTTCACCTGATACGTTTTCGGAAATTTCTTCGGTCGTATCATTTTTTTCATTAATTTTACTTAACGTACTATCATCCTTATTTTTATCTGTTTTCTGATTTAATAAAGACAATTGCTTTCCTGAAAAATAAAAAAAACAATACAATTTATAACCGAAAACAATTTTAACATTATTTTTTAAATTATTATTAAATAAAACCTTTTAAATTATTAATAACATCGTTAGTAGTTAATTTTTTCCAATCAACATTAGTTT